CCCCCCCCCCACCTTTCTCTCCTACAGGCTCTAAGCCCAGGACCTCAGGATGGGGGAGTAAGTGGAGTCCCCACCCCCAGTGCCCTTGCCACCCCTGTCCCCCCCACCCCTGGGCAGGGGTCTCTGCATCTCCCCAGCAGTGACCCCTGCCCACCCCGGCCATCTCCTGTCCCCACCCGCCCCAGCACATGGCCCTAACCTCTGTCTTTTCTCCCCTACCCCCGCCTGCCCTCCTGGACAGTGACGAGGTGAGTACCTTCTTGGGGTGAAACACAGAGGGAATGGGACCCCCACTTGGGATAGGTCAGGGGTCAGAGCTTCAAGGTCCAAGATGACACCCCACCCCCAGACACTGACGCAACAGAGGAAGTGGCAGCCGGTGCCTCCTGGGGCAGGGGAAGTGGGGCTGTGGCCTGGTCACCAGGGGGATCGCTTCTCCTTTCTGATTACTGCACCCCCTCACCCGGCCCTGCACCCGGCCCCCTCCCCAGTGCCTCTGAGACGTGGCTGCTTCTCCGCACCATGCAGGGTCGTGTCCTGGGCCTGGCCCCCCACCAGGGCCTCAGGGCTTCCTAGGCCCAGCTACCTCCTGAGCAGGACCCCCGGCCCGGGTGGGGAGTGTGAAAGGGATGTGGGGTTCTGTGAAGGCAGCCCTGACTGGCCCTGACTCTGCCTCCTTTCCCCCCTGCTCCCCTGCAGAAGAAAAACAGGGCCATGACGGCCCGCAGACAACACCTGAAGGTAGGTATTGTGGGGGGCGGGGGGCGGGGGGGAGGTCCCAGGGGGTCTGCCAGGCTGAGCCGCAGCCCCTCACCCGCACGCCCGCCCCTGCCTCGCGCAGAGTGTCATGCTCCAGATTGCGGCCACAGAGCTGGAGAAGGAAGAAAGTCGCCGGGAGTCGGAGAAGCAGAACTACCTGGCGGAGAACTGCCCCCCGCTGCACATCCCCGGCTCCATGGCCGAGGTGCAGGTACCCCGAGCCCCGAGCCGAGCTCCTGCCGGCTGCCTCAGCGTCCCCACCGGGCAAGAGGGTTCGTAGGGTGGTCGGGGCAGGTGGGTCTGGATGCCGGGACGGCCGCCCACCTGCACGCCCACCCCCAGGAGCTCTGCAAACAGCTGCACGCCAAGGTGGACAAGGCAGAGGAGGAGAAATATGACATGGAGATGAAGGTTCAGAAGAGCACCAAGGAGGTGAGAGGGGCACGGGGTGCGGGCGCCCCGCCCCGGTGGGCTCTGGCCCCCCGGCGCCCGCTCAGCCCTCCTCACCCCCTCAGCTGGAGGACATGAACCAGAAGCTGTTTGACCTGAGAGGCAAGTTCAAGAGGCCGCCGCTGAGAAGGGTGCGCATGTCGGCCGACGCCATGCTCAAGGCACTGCTGGGCTCCAAGCACAAGGTGTGCATGGACCTGAGGGCCAACCTGAAGCAGGTCAAGAAGGAGGACACAGAGAAGGTACGCCACGCCCCCGTCCCCACGGGGCTGACCCCACTGCCCCGGCCCCGGGAGCCCATTCACGGAGGGGGAGCCAAGGCTGAGGGTTCCTGGGGGGATGGGCCTGAGCCCTCTCTCCACCCCACGCCCAGGAACGAGACCTGCGTGACGTGGGTGACTGGAGGAAGAACATCGAGGAGAAGTCTGGCATGGAGGGCCGTAAGAAGATGTTCGAGTCTGAGTCCTAGGTTCCCTGCTGCCTGGTGGCCGGGGGGGTGCTCTGGGCTCCCAGCACAGAGTGCAGGAGAACAGGCCGACAGAGCCAGCCGGGAGGACCAGGCTCATCTCAGCTGTCAATAAAGGCTTCCAACCTCAAGACTGGTTTGCTGTGGTCCTGCCCCAGCCTCTTCCCACCGGCTGCCTGGGGCCTCTGGGTGCCCGCCGTGCTCTGGGAAGGCCCCATCCGACGGTGGCATGCCAGAGTTGTCAGCGGCGTGCCGGGGAAGCCCAGGATGAGGGCATGAGGGAGACACGCGTGGGCTTTGGGGATTTCAGGCCGGGTTGGGAAGGCCCTGATACTGGAATCCACCCAGCCCGCACCCCTGGGACTGAGTGGCGTGGTCAGCAGTCAGTTCCCGGGTGCTCTCCAGAGCTTTCTCTGGAGACAGATGGCCCGAGTCATGTCTGAGTAGGAGTTCTCAAAATGAGGTCATTTGTCCGTTTGCACAGCCATCAGAAGAGGCCCCACCCTCTCAGAGACCCTCTCCATATGACACAAGTCTAGCTGGGGGCCACGGCAGGCATGTAATGTGGGCGGCCCCCCATTTCTCTCAGGCTGCCTGTCTTAAGACCCCACACCCTCCCATAGGGGGCACACGAGAGCAGTCTTGGGTCAGGTGGTCCTCCCAAGGTGGCTTGTGCAGAGAGGACAGAAGCTGGCCCGGGTTGGGGTCTGCACCCCGCCTCCCCGGGATTGATGATTGGCCAAACTGGCCCCACACAGGCCCAGTGGGAGGGCTTGGGTCTCCTTTCTGCTCAGCCCCAAGGCCCTAGCCCACCTCACACATCAAGGGACGGATGAGGACTGTCACAGCAAGGTCGCGGCTGTCAGCCTCCCTTGTGATGGATGACGCAATGGCCCGCCCGCCAAGGTCCCTCTGCTCAGATCTTTGGTGGGGAGCCCGGGAGGCCAGGCCGGGGCTTGTGATGGAGAAGCTGTCTGTCCTGCCCTTGCCCTCTGGAGGTCCAGCGATTGATGTGCTGGGGCCGGAGATGGGAACTGCAGCTGCCTTCAGCCTTGGCTGCCTCGAGGATGGAGACACCCACGTCAGCTGGCGCCCTGACGGCCTTCACCGAGCACTGCTCCCAGCCCCGCTGCAGCCTGGGATCCGACTATGTCCTTTGAATCGCTCCCCACAGCCACTCCAACCAGGTGACCCTGCAGCCCAGGCTCAGACTCGTCAACTCCCCGGTCCCAGGCCTGCTGCTTGCTGCCTGGGCTGCCGGCTCAGCTCCCGCAGGGGAAGTCCAGGCCTCCGGGGAAAGGCCCTCGCTCACCCCTGGGGCCGGGCAAGCACAGATGACCATGGTGTCACTGCCTGCTGGGTGCAGCCAGGAGGTGAGCGGCAGGGAGCCTGTCCAGGGCTTAGGGAACACGCCTGGGGCTCGGAAGCAGGGGCGAGGCCCAGCCTGGGGAGGGGTGCAGTGTGAGCTGAACTCTCAGATGGGGCTGGGAGGAGGACCAGGTGAGGGAGGCAGGGTTAGGGGGCCGAGAGATGTATGTCAATGCAGAAGCACATCCTGTACGGAGCCAAGGACGGATGGGGTGGGCAGTGACCAAGGAACGGGTTTGGAGGCCGGAACGCCAAGCGACAGAGTGGTATCCTGATGTGGATCCAGCAAAGTGAACTGCGCAGCTCTCGGGGTCCATGCCCGCTAGGAACGGGGGCGTGAATCTATCCCAGGGCAGCGGGGAGGCCGGGACGCTGGGACACGGCTCCCACAGGCACGGCTGAATGCCGTCGGGTTTGGGCAGACACATTGCAAGGGAACACAAACTTGTTTTTAAAGGCAAGAAAATGTGAAACACAAAATTCCAGGTAATGATTCAGCGCATGAGAGCCGGGCAGGGCTGAGAGGCTGGGGGCACCTGAGTAGACGTAGGTTTGGGGACTGTTGTAATTGTTGGGTGGTATTTGCCACGCTTTTCAACGAATGAATGAATGAATGAAGTAGAGGAGGGCCGTGCGAACCACGCCTCTCTGCTTCTCTCTGCCGCGGGCCTGGCCTGGCCGGGTGGTCCTGGTGTCCCTGCTGGGGGGCTGCGTCCACACAGCCACAGGGGACCCTGAGGGGAGAGTCTTGGGAAACGTGTAGCCCAGCACCTGGCACATGGTGAGGATTCTAGAAAGATCTCTGTAGGGTGGAGAATAGGCAGTAGGAGGTGAGGCTGGAGGCTGGGGGGGGAGGCAGCCACGGCCAACCCTGGAAGGGAGGCCAGCCGGCGGGAGGCCAGGTAAGAGGCAGAGCCTCCAGGACTTGCTGGTGGAGGGACACAGGGCACCCAGACTCGTGCCGAGGGCAACAGGAGGGGGTGGGCAGCTCGTCCAGGGACAGAGCCCAGAGTGAGTGGGGGGCTGGTTTGGGCTGTGGGTTTGGGGGGCTGTGGAAGTCCCCGGGGGAGAGAGAGCTGGGTGCAGGGGTCCGGGCCAGAGGCTGGGCGCTCAGAAGTGGGTGGTGGGTGATGCTGTGATGGTGAGCAGGGCACAGGAGGGAGAAGGCAACTCCGGGAGGGCCTGAGCTGGATGTCTGCCCAGGTAGGACCCACCCCAAAGGGAGCCGGAGGAGGGGAAGCAGCCCCAGGAAGCCCCAGGGAAGTGTCGGGTCAGCCAGAGCGCAGGGGCAGAGGGGGGTGGGTGAGAAGTGAGGGGCACGGAGGGTGAGCTGGGGCAGCCAGTGCACAGGTGAGCCCAAATGTCCCGCTGTGCCAGGAAGCAGAGAAGTGGGCAAAACCCACAAACATAGGTTAAATAAACCCAACGGGAGCAGGTCACAAGGACATGGAGTGGCCTATGAGCTAAAAGTGGCGTTCCATGGGAAATGGACGGAATGTTTGAAATCTAACCAAACTTCGTTATGTGGACGCATCCGCGCTGTGGTCAGGTGACAGAACAGCAACCTGTCCAGCCCTGTCCCCTCTTTGGACTCCCAGCACGAGCTGTCTGGGTCCAGACCCTCGGTGACCAAAAGTCCACTGGCCTCCCCACCTCCCTGCTGTGTGTGTTCCGCCTTCCCAACCCCCACTCACTCCCCAAGGCCCCCTGATGGGCTGCTGGGCCTCCGTTTCTACAAAATGGGCATGGAGTCGAGCTCACCTGCCTCACAGGACGGACAGGTGAGCAGGACGGCCGGCACCTCCCGGGAGTCAGCCCTGCCCTTCCTGGCCCTCTTGGGCACACCGTGCCCCTCAGCCCTGGGCTGTCCCACAACCACCTCTTCCCCAGGTTCCGTCAGGGTCACCCCCTCCGAGAAGCCTTCCGTGAGTCCCCAGCTGCCCACCACGGCCCTTAGCCCCAAGGGCCTGGCATGTCTGGACCATGAAGACCATCTGTGGGGCCAGCGCCCCAGGAGCTGCACCCGGCGGGGCCCCCACACAGCCCTCCTGCTGCCCTGTGAGCTCCTGGCCCCCTTACACTCCAGCCACCTGCCTCCCTCCCCCCGTCTCCGTCCCCTACGTCCTAAGCCCCCCCATCACCGAAGTCCTCCTCTTGCCATTGTCCTGGGAGGGGGCCCGACCAAGGGCAGACCCTCCGGACAGCAGCTCCCACTGTGCCCACTGGCAGGCACACAGAACCCTCCACCTGTGATTCCGGCCCCACTGGGCCTCAGGGTGGGGGCCTGCCCTGCCTTAGGGCAGTTCTGGCAACTCCAGGCTCAGCTCGCTGTGGCGGCTCCCTTTCCAGGGAGGCGGGGCCCGGTGCACACTGGTCTGGCCCCCACCTCACCCCACCAGGTCTTCTCCAGGACGTCTCACCCCCCCCAACAACACTCTGGGCCCCTCACCTCAAATCAGAGGCATAAGCGACGCCTATTAAGTATACCTCCCCACACTGGCCACACTCCCAGGGGACATGTGCTGCATGGGGACCCTCCCCAGCAGGGCCCCGTCATCTGCTCTGCCCTCACCTGTTCCCCAGGGGCAGCCGCATGGCGCTCACCTTACCTGAACCCTTAGCATGTCCACTCTGGTTCCCCACCTGCCTTTGTGTCTTCTCCTGGCATCCCTCTGACCTGTCCACTCCCTGCCTTGTGGACTCCCTGGTTCCATCTGTCCCCAGGCTCTACCTGTGGCCTCGTCCTCCTCAGACACAGGCCCGCTGGGATGGGGGATGGGGGATGGGGGATGGAGGTAGCCCAGGGAACCCCGAAGCCTTCCTCCCCCGGCAAAGCCTGGAGCACCGTGCTTATGCCCACGGGGTGATTTGCCCCTGGGAGCCTGAGCAAGGAGAGAGAAAGAAGTTCTGCGGGGGTTCCATCCACCCCGCCCTGACCGGCTGGCACTCTGACCAGCTCTGCCGTGACCTCTCTGAGCGGGCCGCGTGCACACAGGCCCCTGGACGCCTCCGCCTGGGTCCCCATAGCGCCTCCAGCTGCGACACCCACGTCCAGCATCCTCTCCCACCCCACCCCCTTCTCCTGCTTCATGTCTGCGCTTGCTGATGGCACTGCCTGGACCCCAGAGCACCCTGGGCACCCCGACTTCTCACTCCCTTGCCCCCAGGTCTCATGCCTGCTGTGGCAGGAGCTGGCTGGCTGCGTTTTTCCTCCTGGACACACACCTTGCGGACAGCGAGGCCGTAGCACTGAGTCCTGATGGCACGTGTGTCCGGGCTTGGCCCCTGGACCTCCCGCTGATCTCAGTCTCCATCGCCCCCCCCCTGCCAGCTGGATACAGAAACAGCCAGGGTGCTAAGGTCCTTGGGGAGGAGGAGTCAGGGCTCCCAGCTTGACGGCACACTGGCCTGAGCACTGGACTGCAGTGAGAATGGAGTCCCCGAGGTTGGGGCTCTTCGTTACAGCAGCTGGCCTTCCTTCTCTGACGAACAGGACCTCCAGATCAGTGTCCCGTGTCACCAGGGAAAAAGGACTACAGCCGGCCACTTAAACCACAGATGTTTACTGTCCCCAGTCCCGGAGGCTGGAGGCCGAGACCCAGGTGTCGGCAGGGCCGGCTCTGAGGCCTCTCTCCTTGGCGTGTGGACGGCCGTCTCCTCCCTGTCCCCACACGGTCGGCCCTCTATGAGTGTCTGTGTCCCCATCTCTCTTCTTATGAGGCCCCCAGGCACAGTGGATGAGGGCCCAGCCCAGTGGCCCCAT